GGGAGGGAGCCTGCTTGGGATTCTCACTCTCTCCTCGCTCTCTGCCCTTCCCCCACTCGTGCTCTCTCAGATAAATTAACTTAAGAGAAAGATAATGCCAGTGAAGCACTTAGCGAAGTGAGGGTCATGGCACCTTGCAAATGCTCCTCATGCTGGATGTGAAAATACTATTCTTGGGGCGCCCGGGTGGCTCAGTCGGTTAAGTGTCCAACTTCGCTCAGGTCATGATCTCACAGCTTGTGAGTTCGAGCCCTGCATCCGGCTCTGTGCTGACAGCTTGGAGCCTGGAGCCTGCTTCAGATTCTCTGTCTCCCTCTCTCTTTGCCCCTCCCCTGCTCACGCCCTCTCGCCTTCAAACTAAACAAACATTTTTTAAAATGTTAAGAAAATACTATTCTTTAGGGCCTGAGAGAGGAGGCAGCTGGCCCTGAAAGACCCCTGCCCACACTCAAACCCTCTGGGCTGCACTTCAGCCTCACGGAGGTGCCGAGGAGGGGCCCAGTGCTTGGAGGACAGGAGCGGGCTAGCCAGTAGGAGCCTTGTGAGTGCACATGGGAAAGGAGGCGAGGGCAGGCGGCCAGCGGACACTGAACCTAATAATAATAAATACGAGCAGTAATAAAAGTAAATGTTTATTGAATATTTACCATGTGTCACACAATATCCTAAGCCTGTGTGTGAACAAACTCATTTAATTATCCCAACAACCCTAAGAGATACAGCTACTACTATTATCCTCAGTCACAGTGGGACCTGAGGCCTCGAGAGAGCAGGTGACTTGCCCCTTCACACAGCTGCTCCGTGGCAAGGCTCTGGCCCTCGGCGACCCCAGCCTTGGTAACTACTGCCCCTGGCCCATTGGTTTCCTGCCCACCTGGGTGCTGGCACGAATGAATGGGGAAGCGGTTCCACCTGCAGAAGAGGAGCAGGGACTGTGGTCTGCGGGCTCCAGTCCCAGCCCCACCTCTGCCCTAGCTATGTGACCTTGTATGCATGACTTCACCTCAGTTTCCTCATCTGTAAAATGGGAGCAAAAGTCCTGCCATGCCCAGAGTTGTTACATAGATCAGATACCCGGGTACATGTAGAACACTTAGCAGGAGAGCCAGCTTAGGAGAACCACTAAATAAGCAGGGATTATCTCCCACCCTTGCCCAGCCGGCCAACTTGTAGGGCACAGAAGGGGATGGCCCCTGGCTTGCGGTCAGAATGAGAGTGTCTGGGAGCAATGGGACTTTGAAGAAAGGGACCGGGAGAAGAGGTGCCCTTCTGTGCAGGGGCACTCGGGTCCTGGGCCCCCAGCTGCTGAGAGGAAGCTGAGAATCATCAGCTGGAGCAGTGGCTGTCACTGAAACAGGTTTATGAGTAAAGGTGGCTCTTTGGGGGCCTGGAAGCATGCTCGCCAAATGTGCCCTGTGTTGGGCAATACTCATCCCTGCCACCCAGGAAGTCACACCTGCTCCAGGTCCATGCCAGGTCCTCCCCCTGGACCCTAACTCTCACCCAAACCAAGCTGAGAACATCTGGAACTAGGCCAGGCTGGCACACGTGGTGTGTGAGCCCTTGGGATTCCCGGTGATCTGGTCCTGCTGCTTTCCGCCTGGCTCCTGCTACCGCCACGTCATAGCCTCGCAGTTCCTTCCAGAGCCCGGCGCGCTTCCCACCCCAGGACCTTTGCGCTTGTGGCTCCTCTTCCTGGACCATCTTTCTTCTCATTTTTTTAAAATATTTTTTATTTATTTCTAGGAGAGAGAGAGAGAGAGACAACGTGAGCAGGGGAGGGTCAGAGAGAGAGGGAGATACAGACTCTGAAATAGGCTCCAGGCTCTAAGCTGGCAGTCAGCACAGAGCCCGATGCGGGGCTCGAACCCACGAACCGCGAGATCATGACCTAAGCGAAAGTCGGACGCTTAACCGACTAAGCCACCCAGGCGCCCCCATCTTTCTTCTCTTCAAATGTCACCTTCCTTATCAGGCCCTCCCTGACCACCCTGTTTAATATTGAAACCTGAAACCTCCCACACCCACCCCATACCCCATTACTTACCCTGCTTTATTTTCCTCCATTGCATTTATTGGCATCTGGTATGCGGCCTCTCATGTATTTACTGCCTGCTTCCCTGATACACATACTCAAATATAAGCTCCATGGGGACAGTGATTTGTGTCTCTCTTGCCCACAATTCTATCCCTAGCACCAGGGACAGTGCCTGGCACCGAGTAGGAACTCCGCAATAAATCTTCACAGAGACCCCAAGAGACAGATGTTTGCACTCCTTATTTTATAGAGAAGCTTTGGAAGGGAGGCTCCTCAAAGCTGGGAGCTTGCCTGAGACCATGGCTTGAGGGATGGGGATTGTTTGACTCCAGTGCCCCTGTTCTCTCCCTGCCTGTGAGTCACGTGATCACCTCCGACACTTCCCTTCCCTCCCCTCCCCAACCAAGTCCCTGGCACAACGCTTTACCCCCAGGTGGGGAGGAGACTCCAGAAGCAACAGGAAGGCAAAAAGTACTTGTCTTTGTTGGGCTCCCATAACAAAATACCACAGATGGGGTAAATAGTCTCCTAAACTGTTCAGCTGTTCTGTTAAACTACAGAAATGTGTGTTCTCACTGTTCTGGAGGCTGGAGGTCAAGGTGGCAGCACAATCAGAATCTGGTAAGGACTGTCTTCCTGGCTTGCGGACGGCTGCCTCCCCACTGTGTCCACGTGTGGCAGAGAGAACACAAGCCTCTTCTTCCGAGGCCACAGTCCTATTGCATTGTGGCCCCACTATGTGGACCTCACTTAACCTTCATTCCCTCCCGAAGATCTTGTCTCCAGATACAGTCACATTGTGGGTTAGGGCTTCAACATACGCGTTTTAAGGAACACAGTTCAGTCCATAGCAGTATTTCAGAAGCCGTTGGCAGGAGGGGAGGAGAGCCCCAGGAGGCAGCCCTGTGCTGGTGTGTCTCGCACTTTCCTGAAGGCGATGCCTAGTCAGAGCATAGGAAGGCTCACTCAGCCCTGTCCTGAGCCCTCCGGCAACTGGCAGAATGATGGGCAGAACCTCACTGCATCCTCAGAATAACAGATGAAGTCCGTGTTACCATCCCCATTGCACAGGTAAATAACCTGAGGCTCAGAGAGGTGAGCTTACCTGCTAATGCCCCTCAGCTAGGAAGTGGCAGGTCTGTCTGATGCCAGAGGGTACGCTCTTAACTACTTTGTGAAGTTCTTTGAAACAGGCAGAGGGCATCTCCCTTGGCCCATGGGTCACAGGGGGCATGGCCCTGACCCGCAGGAGCCCAGCATCTCCTCAGGACAAGAAGAATACATGGCTATACTGGTGCCGGGTGCCAAGCGCACCATCCAGTCAGTGAGCGCAGGGAGAGCTCAGATGGCACTGTAGGCTGGGCTGGTCAGCAAGGAAGGGCTCAGCTGCATGAAAAGTGACAGGGAGGGCTTTCCAGGGAGAATTGCACCATGTCCTTCGCAGGACCATGCACCATGTAGTGGGGTGGGGGTGGCGAGTTCAGTACTGGCTCAGGACGGAGAGGCTGAAGGGCGGAAGTGGTGGGAAAGCTGAGAAGGTAGGCAAGGGTCAGGCGCTGGCCGGCCCAGAATGGCTCCGCAGAGGGTGGTATTTATGTGTTCTCCCTCGGGGGCAGAAAGGCCCGGGGGAAGAGCTGGCGTGAGCAGGAAGTCCGCAGCTCCCTGGCTGGGCCGGCTCGGCCGGGGGAGGGCCGGTGCAGATAAAGAACAAGGATTGGTGTGAGGCTCGTGCGAGAACACACAGCTGAGCTTCTCTTTCCTGGGAGGGTGAGGTGGCAGCTGTGGGCTGTCCTGAGGACCCTCCTCCCTCCCTCAGGAAAGATCCCATGGCTGGTGGACCTTCAGAGATTCACTGACCTCCTAATACCTCCGGCAATTTTCCTAGCCTTCACAAGAGGGGTGGCTCTCTCAGGGGTGGAGTGGAGCCCTGTGTGTAGCAGTTGATGATTTTCGTGGTGTGACTGATATCAAGCTCCCAACACGATGTCACTGCATGCGGAGCAGGCAAGAGCGTCACCCTGCAGCCTCCTGCCAGCCCAGCTGAGTGGCCCCAGCGCCCATCGCTTCGAGCTCCACTGATCCTGCCGCTGTAACAGCAGTGCTCACGGGGACCTTGGGAGCAAGGGGCCGGCCACCCTGATGGTCCCTGAGCCTCAGGGTTTGGAGGCCCGGTTGGATCTCTTCCCGGAGGGTACTTGGTGTCTCCTTCTGGTCAGCCCGATCATCAGTCCTATGTGAGCCCCCAGGGTGGGTCGAGGCGCTCTGCACGTTGGCATCAGGCGGTCACCTCCATAGCATTCAGAAAGCACCCGGTCCCAGAAGTCCTAAGTTACAGTTGAGTCCCAGGAGGAGGCCAGGGAGCATGCGGATGAAAGGGAATGCCGGCGTCACACGGAGGCTGCAGGCCTGCCCTCGCCGGAAGTGCGCACGGTGCGCACATTCCGTTCAACTGTCAGTTTCACGATCCTTGTCAGAAGGCCCATCCTGGATCATGCACAGTCTCTTAGAGGAGACCGGGGTGGGGGTGCTTCTAGGCTCTGTGCTCTCCTAGGGCATAGAGGCTGAAGGGCAGATACAGTGGGAAAGCTTTCTTCTCTTCCTTCTCCCCCTTCTCCTGGGGCGGACCCTAAGGGACTAGAGGTAATGGCCCAGGCGAGGCAGGTACCCCAGGGGAAGGGCTACAGATGCCCTCCTGTGCCGAGGGTGGTGGTGCGGCCCGACAGAGGCAGCCGGACCTGGGGGGCAACTGTGGGCTTCCCAGTCCAGCTGCCCGCTGGTGCGACGGTCAGGCTGCCGATGGCGGTGGGTGACTGGCCAGCAAGGGCCTTTGGCCAGATGTGGAACACGAGCTGGTGAGAAGGAGGGCTCTCCATGTGAGTGCTGGGCCCCCAAAGCCTTCTTGCTGTCCCAGAAAACCTCACCCTTTTCCTCCTTGTGGCCCCTTCCCCACCACCCACTCTAGGTTTTTCATCATCAAAGAGAGCTTTCTTCTTTACTACTCTGAGAGCGAAAAAAAGAACTTTGAAACCAATAAGTACTTCAATATACACCCTAAGGTGAGGCAGCCTCTCTCCAGGGCCACAGTGGGTAGGGCCCCACGGGAACAATGGGAGAGGGGGTCCTGCGAGGGTAGAAGACAGTCTCTTTTCTTGCTCTGGTCTAGCAGAGAGTCCGGAGAATGAATCCTGCTTGGGGCACAGACGCCTGCCCCCATGACTCTTCCTGGGCCCCGGAGCCTGCCCCAGCCCTTCCTCTTCCTTTTTTTTTTTTTTATGTTTTTTTATTTATTCTTAAGAAAGATAGAGACAGAGCATGAGCGGGGAGGGCCACAGAGAGAGGGAGACAGAGAATCCAAAGCAGGCTCCAGGCTCTGAGCTTTCAGCACAGAGCTTGACGTGGGGCTTGAACCCATGAACCGTGAGATCATGACCTGAGCCGAAGTCGGTCGCTTAACCGACTGAGCCACCCAGCTGCCTTCAGCCCTTCCTCTTCCTTCTAGGAGTCAGTTCTGGTCTGGCTCCCAGCCTGGGGCCCTTGGCAGGACCCGGCTTTGGCTGAGGGCTCCCAGAGGCCTTGAGTGACCTGGGCGGGGTGGGGGCTGCCAGTTCTGGTTCTTCCTCAGGGAGTCATCCCCCTGGGAGGCTGCCTGGTAGAGGCCAAGGAAGAGCCCAGCATGCCCTATGCCATGAAAATCTCCCACCAGGACTTCCATGTGAGTAAAGCTCTCCTCTCGACCGGGACTCAGGAGGGCAGACCAGCTTCTCTGGGGACCTCAGGGCTCCCTGGGGGGAACCCTCCAGTGGCCTGGCCTGGGAGGGTGTCAGGGCCATAGAGAAGTGGGCTGGAGAACAGAGGAGCAGAGCTGAGCCCGGAGAGCCCTGTGGGTGGCCTCTGGCACCCCAAGAGTGGGCTCCTCTCTGGTAGTGGCTTCTCTTCTTGGCAGGGAAACATCTTGCTGGCTGCTGAGTCCGAGTTTGAGCAGACCCAGTGGCTGGAGATGCTGCAGGAGTCCGGGAAGGTGTAAGTGCGCATAAGTGGGGGGGGGGGGGGGGGGCTGGGAATGGTTATGGGCTGGGCCCACCCTGACCACCTAGTGGGCACTCAGGACTCCATAAAAGCACAGGGTGAGGGAGAAAAATGTCCAGGCTTCCTTGAGAACAGGGCTGTGGGAGTTGGTTAGAGTGGGCAAAAGAGGACAGGCCAGGTTTAGAGGTCTGGTTCGTGGGCTCAGAGCACAGTGAGCTTTGCTTGACTGGAGTTGCAGATGGCAGACATAGACAGCACTTGTCTCCAGCTCTCGGGAGCAAATCCAGCATCGCTAAGAGGACACTGCCTCCTGACACCCATCTCACCTCCCCAGGGCCCACAGGGAATCCTAGCACAGGTTGGAGCTAGTGCTTTGTAAATCAGAGTCCAGATCATAGAAACCTCCAGCCCAACACGCCCCATTTACTTGGAAACCTCTATTCCGGCACCTGCCTATTCGTGCTTTTAGTTCAGCAAGTAACACCGAGAGCACCCCCGCCAGGCCTGGTGCCGGGTAGTGGCATGCAGTGGTGTAGAAAGCAGCCTGGGAAGCAGTCGCTTCTCTGCTCCGAAGCTGCTGGCCCAGTCCTCGGCAGCCCACTTTGCAGGCTGGGCCAGCCTCCGGGGACTGAGACTGATCAATGCTGGTGGCACGCCCAGAGCCACAGTGAATGGGGCTGCGGCTCTGGAGGAGACAGGATGGGCGAGTACAAACCACGCACAGTCTCCTTCTCCCCTCTCCTTCTGTTGTAACGATTTTGTGTTTCTTCTTCTCTCCTCTGTCTCATCTGCCTTCCCTCCCCAGGACTTGGAAGAATGCCCAGCTGGGAGAAGCCATGATCAAAAGCCTGGAGGCCCAGGGGCTGCAGCTGGCCAAGGAGAAGCAGGAGTATTTAGGTTGGCTGGAGGGATGGACGGGAAACTGAGGCTCCCTAGGTAGTGCTTCAGAACCAGGGGTTACAGCTGGGGCTTGGCAGAGGATGGAGGAGGGGAGCCGGGGCAGGGCTCAGCAGGCTCCCAGGAGCTATAGACAGAGGCTTTTATGGTGTAACCTGTGTCCTTTTGGCCAGCCCGGCAGGAGAACCTCTGGGCCTGCCTTGTCACTTGTCACTCAGCTGTGTGTCTCCAGGCAGCATAGCCTCTGTAAGCCTCAATTTCCCCATCCTTAAAAGGGAGACGAGAATAGTCCTCAAGTTTGGGGGGTGGGACCCGGGGATCTGGGGAAACGAGAACGTGACTGTAAGCACTGTGTCAGACACACGGTACGGGCCCCATACATGGAGTTGATGTTGTTCTGCCCTGGGTCCCCAGGTCCTGGATTTGCCCCCAACTTCCACCCCCTTGGCCCACTTTCAGCCTGACTGCAGGGTGCCAGGCCCCTGCACCCCTGACTGGCTGGCAAGCATGCTCTGTTTGGGAAAGAAGAAGGTGAGACTGGGGGATTGACCCCTCTGCCTGGGATCCTCTCCCCTGCTGCCTCCTTAGACACTCAGGGCCTCGGCACTGGCTCCTGCTTCAGACACCCCTGTGCCCCCAGGACCTGCTGTCCCCTCCGCCACCATCCTCCAGACACCAGTCAGGGGAGCAGCACAATATACAGCACCCACCCGAGCTTCTGAAGACAAAGCCATGGCTGTCCTGGGAGCGCACAAAGTGGGGATGGGGACCAGAGAGGAAGGTCGCAGCTGCGGCCAGCACGTCAGCTTCTACCCCCAGGAGCTGGCTCTGCCCGCTGGCCAGCCTGGATGTGACAACCCATTTCCCTGGGAGATCCTAGAAGTGAAGGAGGTTCCTGGAAGGCCCTGGCCCCCTCCAGGCCGGAGCTGGACTGAGCTTTCCGTGAGAGTGTGCGTGCTTGCTTTGCAGACAAACTGATGGAGGAGACCGAAGAGCTCTGCCTTCAGAGGGAGCAGAGAGAGGTAGGCGCACTGAGGTCACTCAGAGTCGCTGCCCTTCCCCCGTGCCTCACTCTGGGGGCCCTTGACAGCCAAGGTGTACTGGCTGGTGTTCCTGGCATGTAGGGGAGTATGGTACCCAGAGAACTCTCTGGGAAGTCAGACAGGCAGAGCAGGGACACCGTGAGGTGGCTTCTTGACAGAGTGCGTTTCTTCTTGCCAGTCCCCAGGGACAAAAGTTAAAAGGGTAGGTGACCATGTTCTAGAGAAAGCCATCCCCAAATTGCGTAAGCTGTATCATAGGTAGTGAGCTGCCCGTCACTGGTGATCTTTACAGGAGGCTGAGATGACCTCTACTATCTGTGGAGGGACTTCTGCACCACAAGAGTTATTGGGTTGGGTGATTTCAGGGGTTCCTTCATCCTCTAAATGACAGCGTAAGTTCCAAGAAGGCTGCACATTGGCCTGAGGCAGCCTGCAGTGGGGAGCCGCTGAAGTCCACTTCACCTGGAATCTCCACGCGGCATTGGGCCTTGCCTGTTTCCAAAGTGTCATCAGCATCCCTGAAGGGCACAGGAAGGTAGTGGTTAGCACTGCAGACTTGGAGCCAGGCTGCCTCTGTTTGTATGTGACCTTCAACACTTCTAGCTGTGTGACCTTGGACAACTTACCTAACCTCTCTGGACATCCATATTCTTTCTTTTTAAGTTTATTTACTTATTTATTTTGAGAGAGACAGAGAGAACAAGAGCAGGGGAGGGGCAGAAAAAGAGGGAGAGAGAGAATCCCAAGCAGGCTCCACGCTGTCACCGCAGAGCCCAATGCAGGGCTCAAACGCATGAACTGTAAGTTCATGACCTGAGCCAAAACCAGGAGTCGGCTGCTTAACCGACCGAGTCACCCAAGCACCCCTGAAGAACAATATTCTTAAGTGAAAAATGGAGATAATGGAACCCATCTTATTAAGATGTTGTGAAGATTAAAGGAGATGTTATATATAAAGTGCATGGCACATAGGTGCTCAGTGAATATCTGTGTTAGTGTCACGATCGTGTAATTTATTCATGATGAGCCCATCCTGTGCATGCACTGCCTGAGGCCCGGGGCTACAGAGTGGCTTGCCCACAGGAGTGCCTGAGTCAGCCCACTTCTCTTTGCCCAGTTGCTTTTCCTTATGCCCATAGGGCTGGGCCCATCAGCCTCTCGGCTCAGCGCCTGCCTCTGTGACTTTTCTCCCGCAAACCACCTTTCCTGACCCCCCTCCCCTCACCAGGCTCTGAGACGGGCCCTACCGTCAAGAAGCCTCCTGTCTCTGCAGCACCCCAGATACCCCCAGGGCCCGGGACAGCACCTGGCCCAGGATGGGTGCTCGATACATGTTAGCAGAACATTTTTGATTCTTGTAATTTCATGTTACATCTTGATTTCCATGCAGTAGAACAATCCATCCTCATTGTCCTTCTTCAAACTTTCATCAGATATTCTTGCCCATTGATTCTTGCAGCTGGACTTCAGATTCATTCTGTCCTTTAACAATAGAAAAAGCCAAACCGAAACAAAAGCAAAACCCAAAAGCCATTGAGGATCTGCACTAGGGTTTCATGGATTTGAGGCTTGGCGCCGTGACGGCACTGAGCCTCCTGGCACCTGGCGGCGTTTGGGCCTCCATGCCTCCACGCTGTCATCTAGGCCCTGCATGTGAGTCATGGCATTTTCTCCACACAGTTCTGTCATCTTGACAAGGGAGCTTTCCGGTGGGTTGTCAGCAACTCAAAGACAGGTAATTGAGGAAGCCAGGGGATGGGATGGAGTGACAGACACAGCCACTGGCAGGGAGAGAGACAGACTTATCCATCAGAGAGGCTAAATCTGGGGCAGCCATCAGCTGGAGGAAAATTTAGACTCTCTATCTAGGTCTTTAGCCAGGAAATGAGGACAGCCGAGACCCACCGCACACAGGCCTCACTTAAAGCCGTAGCAGGTTGAAGGAGCCAGGCCTGTCAATGTGAACTCCCCAGTTTCGTGGTACAGGATCTGCGTGAGACTCACTCAGGCCCAGCTGATTCCCACCGCGAAGGCTGCCGTGAGCAGGCAAGAGGGGAAAGGGCTGTGCCCAGGCCCGTATTCCCGCGTGTGCTGCGTGCTGTAGATCAGGAACGGAAATCACTCCTTCCCTAACTCGCTCATCTGTACGATGGTTTTGCCTGTCCCCTGCATCTTCCCCCTCTCCACTGCCAGGCTCAGAGGTGGTCTGGGTGTGCCTTGGGCCACTTAGAAAGGCCTCGGGTACAACAGCCCAGTGCTAAGATGAAGGTTCTCTGGTCTTTGAGAGGCAGCCTGGCCTCAGGGAAGATTCAGGGTCTGGAACCAGGAGACTCATACCTGAGTCCCAACTCCATCACTGACTGTGTGGCCTTGGGTAAGTTGACCCCTCTGGGCTTCAGTTGCTCTATCTGTGATGCTCTGATGAGAGCTGATGGCTGTGCCTGCCTAGTTCCTGGGTCGCTATGAGGCTCAATGAAATAAAAGGCAGCAGAGTGCCTTGTGGATGGGCAAGCCCACGCACATGTGCGCGGTGCAGCGATGCGGCCCCAACGTTTTCCATGTTGGGAGGGAGGACCTGGGACTCTGGAGGCATGAGCATGGAGCATAGGGTGAGCCACCCTGGGCTCACCTGCCCCGGGGCCAGAAAGCTATGCCCTTCCTTGAGCACAGGTCCCTCAAGTGTCGCTGGCTTCTTGTGGCCTCATCTCTGATCCCCTGGAGGAGGGTAGCCTGTTTACCTTTCCTTCTTCGGCTGAACTCAGAGAGCTCAGCCTTGTCTGTGGGAAGGCACCTAGGAAATCAGAAGTGCCCAGGGCCCATTAGGCAAGCTTCTTGCCACCCAGTCTGCTCTTGGTCAGAACACAGTTTCTCAGTGTTGGGAAGGACCTCTCACTTCAAGGGGAGGCTCTTGCTCACCTCCCTGATGGATGTTATTCTGCTTCTGTGATGGGCGACTCACGACCTCCAGAGGTGTTCTTTGCCTTGTCGTTCTGTGGTTCAAAAACTCTTCCTTTCGTTGAGCTGGAATCTGCCTTCTAGAGACTTCTTTCCAACCCTGTATTCCCGCAACTTACATCAGGCCCAGGTGTCAGAAGAATAAGCACGATGATGGGAAGAGGCTTTAGCTGCACAGTTCCATAGACCTCAACCTACGGCAGGGTTGCCACGAACTCTTATCCCGCCTTGGCTGCGGGAGCAGAAAGTTCTGGCTGCTTCAGGTTTGCAGGTCCTGCGAGCAACAGTCTTCTAAGGCTCCACCTGGACATCAGTTTTAGCTGAGAGTCGTACAGGGAAATTGAAAGGTAGAAAAGAAGTGAGCGACCGGAAAGAAGATTTTCTTTGTCCTCATTCATAGGTAGCTTTTTTTTTTTAAATATTAATGGTGGAAATCATGCTCTTTGCAGAACACCTGGAAAACAAGCTTTATTCTTAACCTCACCATTGACACAATTGCTGCCGACATCTTGGTGTTTTCCTTCAGGCTTTGGAGAAATATATTATTCTTATATATTTTTTTATTTTTTTATGTTTATTTTTGAGAGAGAGAGAGAGCACAAGCAGGGCAGGGGAAGAGAGAAACACACAAAATCTGAAGCAGGCTCCAGGCTCTGAGCTGTCAGCACAGAGCCCGATGTGGGGCTCAAACTTACGAACCGCAAGATCATGAACTAAGCCAAAGTTGGATGCTTAACCAACTCAGCCACCAGACGCCCTTATATTTTAAACATAATAGGATCACAGCAGATATTCCATTTTATGGCCTGCTTTTTCATTATACCTTCATTAGCATTTGTACCTTCAGCAATTTTTCATGTCATTCGACATTCTTTGAAAACATCAGTTTTGGTGACCATATACTGATTCATCCTATGTGCTGTTTCATTTAACTCGTCTCCTGTTTTTTGGACATCTAGGCTCTTTTCTTTGATGATGATGATGATGATGATGATGATTTTACTTGTATAAGTTTATTTATTTATCTTGAGAGAGAGAAAGCACAGAGTGGGGTAGGTGCAGAGAGAGGGAAAGAAAGAGAATCCCAAGCAGATCTGAATTGTCAGCGCAGAGCCTGATGTGGGGCTCAAACCCCAGATCGTGAGATCATGACCTGAGCTGAAATCAGATGCTTTACTGACTGAGCCACCCAGGCGCCCCAAGGCTTCGTCACTATTATAAATTATGCCACAGTGAACATCTCTGTACACAGGAATCTTGGCCTACTATCTAATCGTTTAGGAGAGATTCCTATGGGTGAAATCACTGAGTCTGGGCAAGAACTTTTAAGACTCCTGATGCATATTGACATATTGCTCTCCAGAAATTTTGTACCAGTTTTCACTCTCATCAGCAGTAGGTGGACATTTCCATCTCACTCTGCCCCACTGCCCATGTTTGAGTCCCTCCATCACCGACTAGCTACAGTGTGGGCAAGAGAGATAAAAACATGTGTGACTTTGAACAAGTCACTTGACTTTTACGTACCTCTGCTTTTCTCATCTATAAAATGAGGATGAAAATATTATCCGCTTTCAGGGCTGTTATAAGGATTAAATGAGTTGACACATGTAAAGTACTTAGAACAGTAAACTCACAGTGAATGTTATCTGTCATTGTCATTATCATATACAAACTCTGTTTCAGAATTCTCTTTTCCATTCCTTTGAAATGCTGTCTATTCTCAAATAGATACGACACAGTTTCAATCTTCAATTCATAATACTATCCATCATTTAGTAAACACTTACTATGTTGCAGACAGTTTGCATGGATTAGCCGTGTTATCCTTTCATTAACCCTACTGGGTGGTACTGCCCATCCCAGAGAGTCCCTCCCACACCCCCTCTTCTCCCTGCATGAGATCCAAAACCACCTAGACCACACCCCCAGCTTCATTTACTACGTATGTACCAATGTCTCCCCCTTGGCGGGTGCAGTCCCTTCTCTCTGCTGAGCTCCGGCCCCTTATATCCAACCGTTGGCTTCACATCTCCAGCCAATGTCTCAAAGGTACTGCAAACTCAGCGTGTCCAAGACCACTCATGACCTTCCCCAGCAGAGCCGATGTCTTCCTCCAGCGCTCCCTACCTCAGGGAATTCACCTCCTCCCATTGTTTGTGCAGATTGGAAACCCGAGAGTCGTGCCTCATCATGTCCTCCCCGTCTCAGCCTTCCCCCTCCACCCCCACGTTCTGCTAGCATTGCCCCCAAAAGCTCTAGAAGCTGCGTGGCCACTTCCCTCCATCTCACTGCCTCGCTCTAGCTCACACCACTGTTAGGTCTTGCTGGACCGATGCAGCGGCCTCCCCCCGGGTTCCCTGTATCCCTCCTGGCCCCTCCTCATCCTTTTTGTCCTCGCTGCAGCTGGTATCATCGTTTAAAATGGAAATTGGGGGGCACCTGGGTGGCTTAGTCGGCTAAGCCTCCGACTTTCGCTTAGGTCATGATCTCACGGTTCGTGGGTTCGAGCCCCGCGTCGGGCTCTGTGCTGACTGCCAGCTCAGAGCCTGGAGCCTGTTTCGGTCTGTGACTTCCTCTCTCTCTGACCCTCCCCTGCTCACGCTGTCTCTCTCTCTCTCTCCTAGAAATAAATAAAACATTAAAAAAAAAAATTTTCCTTAAAAAAAAAATAAAATGGAAATTGGATTAGGTTGCCCAGTCTTCTTCCCCTACTTCCTGCTCAAAACCTTCGCTGTTTGTTCTTGCTCAGGGAAAAAAACCCCAAAATCCTCAGCATAGCCCAAGGCGCTGTGTGGTCTAGCTCCCTCCCGCTGTTCACCCTCACTGTGGGCCCAGACGTGTGGGCCTGTCTTAGTTGTTTCAGGGCAGCAGGTTTCCGAAGGGCCTTTGCACGTACTGGCCCTTGTTCCTGGAATGCTCTTTCCTCTTCTTGCTACTTATCCACCTTCACCTTTTGGTTCAAAAATCTCTTGCTCCCCCAACCGATCACTTCCTGCTTCTCATCCAAGACCGCTTTCTGAAGAACTATGCCCCCATCCGGCACTCCACACACCTTGGTTTGTAATGATACTCTCACGCGGGTGATTATTTTCTTAGTTTTTGATTCTGGCCCTGAGCTGTAAGCTCCATGGGAACTGAGACGTGTCTGGGTTTGCTCACCTTCACATCCTCCATGCAGAGCCTGGCAGGAGCTTGGTGCATATTAAACACTCAGTAGCGATGTGTGGCATGCATGAATGAATGAGACCATTTTTTAAAAAATCTCATTGGGGTTTTTATTGGAATCATATTGAGCCTGTAAATTAATTGGGAAGAACCTCTACGGTATTTAGTCTTCCCAATCATTCAGGAGCCTACATTCTTTTCAAAAGCATAATTGCTGGGGCGCTTGGGTGGCTCAGTAAGTTAGGCGTCTGACTTCGGCTCAGGTCATGATCTCGCGGTTCGTGGGTTCGAGCCTCACATCAGGCTCTGTGCTGACAGCTAGCTCAGAGCCTGGAGCCTGTTTCAGATGCTGTCTCTCTCTCTCTCTCTCTCTCTCTCAGAAATAAATAAAACATTTTTAAAAAAAGCATAATTGCTCTTATTGGGAATTTAGAAATAATGCGATGACACATGGTGAACAGGGATTATTTGGCTTGAAGGAGAGGAGTCTTAGGGACAGAAAACTGTCCCCAACACATGAAGGAAAAAAGGATCAGTCTTTTTCTGTGGCTCCAAGGAGAGAAGGTCGGCCCACTGGTGGAAGTTATGAGGAAGCTGATTTGGGCTCAGATGGCACAGGTGGATGAAATGGCCGCCCCCTCTCCTCAGTGGACCTGAGAGGCTCAGGGGGTCCAGAAGTTGGCTGTGTCCTTGGCTTTGCCAGTCTTCCATTTTGCTAAGAGCTGTTTACTGGCTCTTAACTTTGCTGGCTAGGGGTATTTGGCCTTTGTGGCTGAGGAGAAGAGCTTCAGGGGACACTGTGACTGAGGGCAGCAAGATCCAAAGGGAGAGAGTCTGGGCAAAGGATGGAGGTGGTTACAGGGGTTTTGAAGGGAAGTTTTGCTCCATAAGTGAGATTCAGCCCTCTCACCTGAGCCCCAGAAAGCCTTCGGCAAAATCTGCGGTCCTTCCTCCGTGGTTTTGTCTTTGTAGCTTTCAGAAAGAGGGCCCGTGCTGAAGTAGGACCTGGAAGGAAGAGGTTTGATCAGGTCTTTCTGGAATGAAATGGTCTGTCTTATTAAAGAGGGGGTGAATTCCCTGTCACAAGAACCATTCAAACAGAGCCTGGGCCATCTCTTGGCCGGAAAACTGGTCCCAGGATTCAAGCGTCTGGTGAGGACTGAAGTGCTTTCAAGCGCCTTTGACCGTAGAGGGCTCTGATTCATGGGTATCTGTTCTCCGACTGCCACACAGCATATGGGCTGCCTGGCACGCCGTGCAGTTATTGACTTAGGTGGGAAAATCGTTTTATCCCTTATACCCGGGCCCGCCTGGGGACGAAGGGGAGGAAAAGCCAAATGATTGTTTTGCTGTGTTATTTTCAGGAGCGTCAGTTTCGCCGTCTGGTTCTTGGAGCCATGGCAAGGGCCTGCTGGCGTCTGAGGTGCTAGAAATATCCTCCCACAGTGTGTAATGTGGAGGTGCAAAGCAGGCGTCCCCAAAATGCTGCCAGCTAAGCCTCACTTGAAGGCTACCCTGCAACCCCAGCTGCCCCTTGCAGCCCAGGAAAACGGGACCCTCGGAGAGCACAGCACTCCTCACAGGACTGGTCTGGCCCTGGGGCCCGCCCTAGGCTTTCTGGCTCTCCTGTTCCCTGCGGCCCAAGGATAGGGGAAGCTGGACCCACCTGGGCTGGTTGCTTCCTAGATGCCTTGAGAATAAAAGAGTCCCTATTTTCTGACGTCTGGGTCGGGACTGGCTTTTCTTTGCCACCTTTGACAGATGTCACTCTAAAAATCTTTAATGGAGGGGCGCCTGGGTGGCTTAGTGGGTTAAGCCTCCGGCTTTGGCTCAGGTCATGATCTCACGGTTCATGGGTTTGAGCCCCGCATCGGGCTCTGTGCTGACAGCTAGCTCAGAGCCTGGAGTCTGCTTCAGATTCTGTATCTCTCTCTCTCTCTGACCCTCCACCGCTCACGCTGTCTCTCTCTCTCTCTCTCACTCTCGGAAATAAATAAAACATGAAAAAAAAAAAGAAATCTTTAATGGAGATGCTCACCCACCACATGTTCCTCTAGGGCTTGAGAGCCAGCTAGACGACCTGAGGGGGCTCCATTGACTGGAGTGGCCAGCAGAGCAGACGTCTAGAATTATCATCACCTCCAGGCACAGGCAACGGTGTTGGGGTCATTTCTAAACCCTGCCTGCGGCATGCTCAGTGTATCTGCAAAGGCCAAGCCCATCGCAGATAGGGGGCTCGTTGAGACTGTGTGTCAATGAGTGGGACCAGGGCTCCTTAGGACTTAACTCTCAGTTTGCTCCAGCCTGTAGCCCAGACTGTACTACATCCCACAGGGGCCCCTGGACTGGAGGGACGGTCCCTGACCTCAGGGGCCCTTTGCTGCCCGTGACCCTTCTCTTCCCCTCTGGTTCTCTTCAGGAGCTTGAGCGCCTCAACCAGGTGCTGGAGGCCGAGAAGCAGCAGTTTGAGGAGGTGGTGCAGGAGCTGAAAATGGAGCAGGAGCAGATCAAAAGGTGGTGGCGGTGCCCAGAAGGGGCGGGAGGAAGGGGCACGTCGGGCAGTGCATTAGAACCCACATTTCCCGTCAGGCCTGGAGAGGGCTCACCCAGGAGAGTCTCCGTACTCGATGACTTGGTTTGGGTCTATCTTCCCAGTGCTCCAGGCCTCGGGGCAGGCCAGAAGGAGCTGTAGACCTCACACGAACCTGACGTGAGGCACGGGCAGGTGCAGATAGGCGTCTCCCCAAGCCACAAGCCCCTCTTGCCACTGTCAAGCCTCCCTTCTCCAGAGGCAGATGGGAACAAGCCGGTCTGCAGGTGCTGTGAGCGAAGACCCCAGTGTCGCCTGCACAGTCCCGTCACGTCTGGCTGATGATGTCCCTTGGGGTCTTTAGTCCTGCGTGTGGTTTGCAAACCAGTTGCACATTATAATCATGTAACGGGATTAGAATCTCTTGCAAGTAGGGCCCAGAGATCTGTATTTTCCAAAACCTCTTCAGGTCATTCCAATTCAGCGTATCCAGGAATTTGGAGACCAGAGCTCTGGGTACTGTTGATGGTGGTGGATGTCCTCGGCGGCGGTACCCTCTTCCTTCTCCTCCTCCTCCTCATCACGACTGATAATCAGTGTTAGCCCACAAAGGTTTTTCTCGCAACACCTTATAAAAGGAAGTTAATTAGACAAGTATTTCAGGGAGGGAGAAACACAGAGGATCTCACCAACTAAATGGCCAAGCACCTTGCTTATCTCCAGAATTGTGCCAGATACTGAAATAGAGGATAAGTCCTCTTAGCTTACAATGCAGGATCTTACCATCTTGTTGGGAAAATCAGACTGACACCCAGGAAACATCAACATGTTAATATATATATATGCCATATATGGCATATATATCACATATATATATATCATATATATATATGGCACCTGGCTACCTGGCTATGTAATATATAGCCAGGTGCTAGGGAGCACAGGGCAGACTCCCTCTGTCATAGGAATTAAGGTACACATGTGATCCTTGGGGGCATGAAGAGGGGCTCGATTGAGCTGGGCCTTGGAGGATGGGTAGGTTTAGGAAATTGGGCCGGAGAAAAGAGAAAGGCATTTCAAGCAGGAGGAAGGGAAACCAGGGGTAAAGGCCTGAGGTGGCCCAGGCTTGTTAAGAAAGCAGCAAAGCGGTTGTCACCCGAGAGAAGGGCCTCAGCCATGTGAGAATGAGTAGGGGTACTTGCAGGGTCTGCCCAGGGAAGAAAGGAGGTGGGGCCAGACCCCCCTTTGTTTCTCTAGTGGTTCTCTCTGCCTGTGGGCTGCCCCTGGGTTTATCCCACGTGACAGATGCATGTGTACCCGAAGCACGTGACGTCAACCCCACTTGGCTGGGATCTCCTTCTTTCAGCCCTGGGTTCCTACAGCTGCTATCAGGACCCTGCCATGCAGAGAGGGGCTGGCCTTCCAAGGACCCCTCCGAGCCATGTCGGGAGGCAAAGCAGAAGCATTTCTGTGTGCGGAGGGGATTGGGAGGGGTGGGCACTGCCATACCCAGCCCTCTGTCCCCACAGGGAGCTAGAACTGACTGCAAGATGCCTCAAGGGTGTGGAGCAAGAGAAAAAGGAGCTGAGGCACCTTACGGAGTCCTTGCAGCAGACGCTGGAGGTGAGGGGCCGCTGACGGGCTGGTGGACCTGGAGGCAGGCTGGTTGGTCGGGCCACGTGATACTGTTTTGCCAATAGCGCTTCCCCCAGAGGGTTCTCCTTCTCCTAAAGGAGAATGGAGCACGATGGGGTGCTGATCTAAAAGGTCTCTTCTCTGTGGACCAGAGAGCACGGGAGGCCTGAAGCAGGAGCCAGGGGAGCAAATTCAAGTTTGCCTTTCTATGACTGTGCCCTTGGGAAATCCACCTTCTGCAGTGTTTATATTTTTATACCACATGGAGGACTGATTAGGGTGGGTGGCGGGACCACCCACTTCTTCCTTCTGGTGGCTCCTTCACTTAGCTGCTACTGGGTGAAATTGAGCATGAAGGGAAATCAACTGTATGTGCCCTGCATTTGATACCCCAGAAACTGTGAGGTGGAGAGAGGTGGTGGCAAGTGTCAAGGACAAAGTGCAAACTGTTTCCCAGCCCCTCCTCTCCGACTTCTCCTGAGTTGCCCCTCTGCCCCTGACCCCTACTCCAAACCCCTGAGCTCATGTGCCCAGATGAGGCCAACCTCTCAGACTCTCCATTTTTTTATGTTTTTTTTTTTTTTCTGAGAGAGAGACAGAAACAGAGACAGAGACAGCATGAACAGGGAAGGGTCAGAGAGAGAAGGAGATACAGAATCTGAAAAAGGCTCCAGGCTCTGAGCTAGCTGTCAGCACAGAGCCCGATGCGGATCTCAAACCCACAAACCATGAGATCATGACCTGAGCCGAAGTCGGACGCTTAACCGACTGAGCCACCCAGGTGCCCCCAGACTCTCCATTTTTGCCCTTGCGATTCCTTCTACACAGAATGTTCTTTCACCTCTTCTCTGACTGGAGACCTCATCCGTCCTACGAAGACTCAACTCCAACAGAACCAGAGCCAAGCTTTCCTGACTCTTCTAGGCAAGGGTTTGCTGTGAGCTCTAGGCCCTGGCAGCCCTTTGCATGTCTGTTATAGGTTGTGTTTTCCAAACAGTGAACTTCGCTAGACTGGGTGTTCAGGTGTCTCCCAGGCCAGCCCAGCCCCTAGCGGGAGGCTGGCAGATCACTAATGTTTACTGAATTCATGAATTGCCTTGAGGGCTGCAAGCATTTCTATTCTCTCTCCACTGACTGGAGGCTTAGTCTGTGCTGCCTTTACTTGTTTATCTTTCCATCTCACATCATGAGAGATGGTTCTCATGGAGACTTTCAACTCTAGAATTTCTGGGTAATGCAAGACCCCAGCCTGATAACTGGGGAGGACATCTACATCTTTTGAGTGTTTTTCATATGAGGCCAACACACTCCCTCACTCAGCCCTGGAGGAGTAAAGACCCCAGAAGACCATGGTGCCCTTGGACCCTGGTTTTAGTAGGTACCACTTCCACTGGAAGCTGCATTGGGCTCCTCCCTGAGTCCTTCGAAGGAGGAGTAACCTTGCCTCTTTGTGAGGAAGGTGATCTTGGTCAGCCTTTTACCTCCAGGGAAGGAGGAAGAGATTTCAGATGTCTCTTATAGAAGGAATGAGGGCATCATTCCTTGAAACTGAAAGGCAGGTGAGGGCAGCCATGTTGGAAAACCCAAACTAGGCGCTTTCTCTTCTTCCATCCCTCCATGCCAGGAACTCTCCATAGAGAAGAAGAAAACCCTGGCAATGCTGGAGGAGAATGAGAACCAGCTGCAGACCCTGGCCAATCAGAGCGAGCAGCCCCCACCCAATGGGGGTCTTCATAGCAACCTGAGGCAGATAGAAGAGAAGATGCAGCAGCTCTTGGAGGAGAAGCTCCTGGCTGAGAAGCGGTAAGGGGACCTTCAACCCCTGAGTCCAGTTTGATCACTTTTCTTGAACTTCACATCCAGAGTCTTGGGTTCTAGCTGCTGTTGACCAGACAGGTCACTTACTTCCTTTTGCCTAGGACTCAGTTTCCCCACCAGGCAAATGGGAAAAAAAACTTTGGCTATCTAGAGCCAACTTGATCCTTATTTCTTGCACTGATGAACCATACAGACAGTCATTAGGTTGGTCTCACAATGCTTGTGGCAGGCGGGGCAAGTCCTTGAGACCCCTTTGTGCAAATGAGGAAACTGAGCCTCGGAGGGTTTATAGGACTTTCCTGAGGTCACAGAACTAGCAAGACCTGGACCCAAGACTCCAGTCTTCAGACGGGGGGTGGGGTGGGGGGGCTCTCCTCACCTACCACGCCACCCCCTCTCATCCACTGGGTGACAGAACCCAGAAAGTTCTGGGTCTCATGGTTTCTCCAGAGAGGTCTCCAGGAGGGGCTGCCCTCCCACTGGTAAGGCCCGTTGGCCAGTGAGCACCTCTTCTGCCCGAGCAGGATGAAGGAGAACGAAGAGCGCTCTCGGGCCCTGGAGGAGGAGCGCGAGTTCTATTCGAGCCAGTCCCAGGCGCTCCAGAACTCGCTGCAGGAGCTGACGGCAGAGAAGCAGCAGGCCGAGCGGGAGCTCAAGGTGCTGGCCTGGGCCTGCTGGGGGCAGCCTGTGCTGGTGGACCTTCCCTCACATCCCTTACCGGGCAGCTACCTGAATGATCTCTGCCAACCTGACTCGCCAGGGGCGGGCGATGGAGCCACCGTTTGGGGAAGCAGTGAGCCAGCTGCTTGGGTGGAAAGCATCATTGGTAGACACTGGCCAGGTGCAGGGGCCGAGTCCAGGCCACCTGGTCAAGGGCGCAAGACGCAAGGCAAGATATGCTAACTTCCATCCGAGTCCGGAGGCCAGAAAGCCCTCTTGAGCCAGGGGTGATCAGGGGAGAGTCCAGGGTGATGGCAGCTGCTCCCCAGGACCGCAGTTCTCTCTTCCCTCTCCCCACAGGCTGAGGTGAAGGTCCGCATGGACCTGGAGAGGCGTCTGCGGGAGGCAGAGGGGGCCTTGAGGAGTCTGGAACAAGGGCTTAACTCCAAGGTGCGGAACAAGGAAAAGGAGGAGAGGATGCGGGCTGACGTGAGCCATCTGAAAAGTAAGCCCCGGCCCCGGAGGCCAGCCCCCAGCCCTAGGGCTCAGCCCCTGCGGGAGTGCAGACCCGGCGGAGCCCGGGACGGGGACGGGGCCTGTGTGCGTTGGGTGATCCACGGAGTGGGACGGAGTTTCTTTCCCAGACTCCCGCCGCCTGCTGGTCTCCAGCGCGGCTTCCTCTGGGCTGTAGCCTCGGCGTGGGGCGTGGCGCGGAGTCCCGCCCCTTCGTCAGGGGGCGGTGCCCGGTGGGCGTATTTCCCGCTGGCGGCGGGGCGGGGCGGGGCGGGGCGGGGCGCGGGGTCCCGCCCCTTGGCTGGGGGCTGTGCCGGGTGGGCGTATTTCCCGCCGGCGGCGGGGGCGGAGGCGGGAAGGACGCAGCGGGACTGCGCGCACAGGGTTCTTCGAGGAGTGCATCCGGAACGCGGAGCTGGAGGCCAAGATGCCGGTCATCATGAAGAATTCCGTGTACATCCACAAGGCGGCCACTCGCCGCATCAAGAGCTGCCGCTTCCACCGGCGCCGGTCCAGCACCTCCTGGAATGACAGTGAGTGTGGCCGTCCGCGTGCTCTCCTGGGGTGGGGATGGTCAGAGGCAGTGGGTGAAGGCGGGAAGAGAGGAGGAGGGGGCGCCGGGAAGGGCACTGGCTCCACCAACCTCGAGCTCCTCCCAGGGTTAGGGGAGCAGGTGGGTGCGAAGCGGCTGGGAGAAGCACAGCAGCCCGCCGGAGGGGGACACGTGGCGCGAGGGAAGCGGGCTCGGGTTGGGGCCCAGGCCAAGCCTTAGGGGAGGGAGGGCCGCTCACGGCAGCCATCTCCCCAGTGAAGCCGTCCCAGTCTTTCATGACCTCCCAACTGGATGCCAACAACATGGAGGAGCTAAAGGAAGTGGCCAAGAGGCTCAGCCGCGACCAGCGCTTCCGAGAATCCATCTACCACATCATGGCAAACCAGCCAGGAGCGCCCTCGGCGGTTCCCCGGGGTGGGAAGTGATGGGCGCTCCTCCCCTGCCTCCCGGGTCTTTTTGCAGTGGATAGGAGCCAGAGGAGGTGGCAGGGGGAGGTCTGGCTCTACCTGGCACCTCTCTGCTCCACCTGGGGGCCAGCCTCACCCTCATAGGACAGGGATGGCACCTCCCTCACCCCCACCTAGAAACCTAGTTGGGTTTACATCAGGCCCAAGTTGGGTGCTGCCTGGTGTCACCTGGTGCTCACCTGGTGAGGCGAGGAGGAGCCTGGTTGCACGTGAAGACATTTTGGTTGGGGAGTGGGGTGGGCAGGGCCCATAGCCCTCACCTGTGCCCACTACACCTCCCTGTGATGTTGCCTCCCTGTCTTCATGTATAAAGGGATCCGCTCCTTGATACCTGCTCCCCGCTGAGATTCCTAGCTCTTTCTTTGCTTCTGAGACCCATAGACATCCCTCAGCCAAGGCCCCTTACTTTTACTACATCGTGGGGCAGGGAAGAGAGGGACCTCACACTGTAACGTTTGGGTTTGTGGCATACCACACTTAGGCCACGGCGTCTCATTCCTGAGGTTGGGCCCTGGCTGAGGGGCTACCCACTCACTCCCTTCCTCAGGTGAGCTCACCCACCTGCAGCTTCAGCACCCTTTGAGGGTGGTGTGACCCCACCCTCTCCCTCCCATATCCCTCCTGTCTGTGTACCCAGGGCCCTTGGCCCTGGCTGGGATCTGCGGCCAGCAGCGATTCTGAGGGCTCTCCCAGAGGATGAGTAGTAAGTTCAGGGGATGGATCGAGGTGGCCCTGGCTCCTGCATTGTCCGCTCCTAGGAGGGTAGGGAGACTTCTGCCTGGGCTGTGGTGGCCCTGTTGCTCCGTGGGATCACACATATCTCCCTCTGAGCGGCCCCTGCTTTAGCCACCTTGCTGCCTCCTCTCCCTGCAGAGGCTTTATCCAGTGAAGCAATGTGACTCTGGAAGATGGGGGGCCTGGACCTACAATAATGCCAGTAGCCATTGGTTGGCGCCGTGTCGTCCGTAGGTGGTCTGTGGGGTTGTGTCCCTCACCCACAGTCGGTTCTGCTCTTCTCCTCCTGGCCACATGTTCCAAAGCTGCCTAAATCCATTGGGCTCTCCAGAAAAGGGGGTCTGCCTGGGATGAGGGTGCTCATGGACACTGGTGGTATTAAAGGCATTGATTCTCTGCTGCTTGACAAACAGAGCGAGGTACCCAGGCCGGAGATGGCTGCAGGGCAAACCCCAGCAGAGGTGCTGGCCTCCCGCTCAAAATACATGCGTGTCTACTGGCCTTGTAGCCCAGACAGGACTGGGGTGCCCTGCTCTGTGCTCAAGGCTGCCTGGTGAAGCTAAGGGAGACTCAGTTCAAGTCCTGGGTGGGCTGTGATGGCTTTAGCCAATCTCTGTGGAATCTGGGTGGAGACAGGGGCAGAGGCACTTGGAAACAGTGCATCGGAAAAGGAAGAGCCTGAAAATAAAAACTTTGAACACATAGGAACGTGCATAAACGTGGGACTCATTTATCTGACATGTATACAGGGTGGACTTTGAAATGAAGATGTATATAATCCAGATTACCATTTTATTTTTTTGTTTGTAAAGGAATTAGGTTAATCATGGTTTGCTCTTGGAGAAAGATCTTTTGGAAATTTTCAAATGCATTTTTTTTCCTCCCAGGCCAGCTATTAACCAGAAAGGAAAGTGCTTTTCCATGCACATTTCACCAATCCCTAGTTTCATTCCTCACATTTGACCCTGTACTTTCCATGCCTTGGGCAAGTCTGGGTTATCTTTGACAAACTGATCAGTCCCTAAGTATTTATTTGTACCTAACACTGTAAATAGAAAAAGAAACAACTCTATATGAAAATATATCACAGTGGAAATTACTTACTGGAAATGTATTGGTCTGATTTTTTTAAAAAATAAAACTCTTATTCCTTGGCCAATTAAATCTTTCCTGCAGTAGAGCTTGTAGTGTGGTGGTTGCTAGAGAGATGTTGCCCCCTGCAGGTCAAATGTGGCATTATGCAGTTCCCTGCGTGTAGTCTTGATAAGCAAGCACGTTTCCCTACATAGGAGGAAATACTACCCTTTGCTGCATCTCCTGGGAGTGGCTTCTTAATATTAACTGAAAAATCTGTCTTCCCACCCTGAGGTCCTGGCTGTTCCCATGTAACAAGGACTGTCAGGTGAATTTTGTTCTGATTTGAGCCCTGACCAAAGGGAGTAGATTACACGAATGGGAATAGCCTCAGGGAGGCAAAGGACACCTAGTTTTGTGACTTGCTGGTATCATTATCCCCACTGGAAATTGACAGTATGCCTTCTCTGAAGAGGAGAAGTTTATGCTTTTGCTTTGTAACCACAGAAGAGAGAGTAAGAAATGGAGCAAGAAATGGTAATGACTGGATTCTCCTCCTATTTGGTATATTTCCTCACTGTGGATGGATGATCTGTTATTGTGCCCAGGACTGTCCTGGTTTTGTATTGTTTCCCAGCATAATTATTAGTGACTCCCTTTCTGTTGTCCCCAGTGTCCCAGTTTGTGTGATAGTTTTGTGGTCATACTGGTTATAAGGCTGTTCCCCAACAGTATGTTAATTGGCAGGGTAAGAGATCTGTAAAATACTCAGGTCCGACCCACTGGCCAGCTCCCACCTCCTGGGAAGGATCTGCTGCCTATATTTGTCTCTGGAGAGATGTGACTGTTACCTCCCCACCCCCATCCTCTCCCACCCACCTCACCATGACCTGGGCAGCCTGTGGGTGATTAAGGTATCATCTGAGTAAAATTTGGAGCACACAGTAAATGATGATGGTGGAACTGACTTGCTCAAGTCTTGGGGAGCCAGCCTGTGTCAGATTTGGGCTAACTCGAAGACAGTCATTAAATCCACCAAACAAAGGGGCTGCCCTGGAGCCCTCAGATAAAGGCCAGCAGCCCCTGGGGGATATTCTGCTTCTGTGATGAGCCAGGATGGGACTGCTCAGACCCCCAGGCTGCTGCAAGGGCTCCCCAAATTTAGAAACCTTATGGCTTTGACTACTGGGGAGAAAGCTACTGACTTTTATTTCACCCACCCCTGATGAGCAAGGGGCAAAGGGTGTTCGGCTTTGCTTCTGGGTGACACTCTGATCAGGCAGAGAAATTGAGTTGAGACAGGTTGCTCTAAGGCCGGAGGCTCGGGGCACCTGGGTGGCTCAAGTAGTTAAGCATCTGACTTTGGCTCAGGTCATGATTGCATGGTATGTGAGTCAGGCATCGAGCTCTGTGCTGACAGCTCAGAGCCTGGAACCTGCTTCGGATTCTGTGTCTCCCTCTCTCTCTGCCTTTCCCCTGTTCACACTCTGTCTCTCTCTCTCTCAAAAATAAATACACATTTAAAAAAAAAATGAAAAGGCAGGAGGCTCCATCTTAGGCTCCAGGAGATTGCAGAAGCCAGAGCCAGCTGATAGCATATTTGGGGGTCATTCTCTTCACTCTGCCTTGCTTCCCCTAAAGGATCTAGTCCTTGCCTCTGGACAGAGGGTCCTGCTATGAACAGATTCCACCTGTCCTGTTATCCTGGCAAAAACTGTGGCTGGTGGGCCTTGGAGTGTCGCTGACCACAGGAGAAACTTTCCTCTGGGAACCTGTCCCACAGGCTGCTTGCTGCTGGGGGTGGGAGTGGGGGTCTCCAAAAGTGAAAGGTCAGGTCTCCGCTCTGAAGTCACTATTTAAAATGGTTTTTTATATGTATATATTTTTAATAAGTAGGAGAGAAATCTCACGAGGCTGCTCAGAGCCCTTGTGAGTTCTCAAGCTCCGTGAACTGGGAACCTGCAGCCTCAGAGTCAACAGAAGCATGGCTGCCACTACCAGCACTGATCAGAAAACACAGTTCTTGGGGAGGGATGGTGTTCTGGCTCATGCTGCCCTCCATCCCATGCCATTGTCAGATGCTTTTAGTGTTGAGATGAGAACAGGAAAGAGAACTCATTTATCATCCCAAAGAAAAGGCAATTGTGACTAATTAGTCACTTGGAAGGCCATCCTGGGAAAGGAAAGATGTCTATTCTCATGTTCATCCTGGTGTCTGAGACCATCTGTCAGCATCCCTTCTCTCCATCTTCATTCAACAGATATTTATTGTGATTCCCCTGCATGAAGTCAGGTACTTAACCTGTGCACGTATTATCTCTATTATTTACCGTTCATTTTTTCATTGTAAAATAGACATAACATAAAAGTTACCATGTTGACCATTTTTTTTAACTTTATTTGTTTTGAGAGAGAGAGAGAGAACGTGCGTGCTGAAGGGGCAGAGAGAGAGGGAGAGAGAGAGAATCCCAAGCAGGCTCTGCACTGTTAGCAGGCTCTGCACTGACAGCGAGGAGCCTGATATGGGGCTCGAACTCACAAACCATAAGATCATGACCTGAGCTGAAATCAAGAGTCGGTTGCTCAACCAACTGAGCCACCCAGGTGTCCCCCATTTTGACCATTTTTAAGTGTATAGTTCAAACGTGTTAAGTGTATTCACATAGCTGTGCAACCAGTCTCCGGGACTTTTCATCTTGCAAAGCTCAAACTCTGTGCCTTCAACAACTCCCTGTTTCATCCTCCCCTCCACCCCACCCCCCGCCCTGCCCCTGCAACTACCCTTGTACTTTCTGCCTCTATGAATTTGACTATGTTAGATACCTCACAAAAGTGGGATCATACAGTATTTATTGTTTTGTGACTGTCTTATCTCACTTAGCATTACTGTCCCCGAGATCCACTCACAGTGTAACATATATCAGAATGTCATTCCTTTTTAAGGCTGCATTATATCCTATCACTCACTTTTAAAACAGAACAATGGATTGAAATCTTATTTTTCTGATAAACTGTTGGCCAATGATGAGGGTCCTGACTGTCCTAAAGGTTAAGAGAGTCGCAGCTGAGGGATGGTTGAGTCCCTGCGCTCCCCCCCCCGCAGGTAGCTCCTCACAATGGTATGGAAAGACGCTTTGGAATTCACTTCCTCCTTCTTCCCAGCAGATGGCAGCATGCCCTGAGCTGGGCCTGCAAAATCTGGTGGGACCGTCAGCTAAGCCTCCCTGAGAAGGGGGAGGGCTTTGTGACACATCTCGCATTCTGCATTATTGGTGATGAATCTCCCAGTTGTTCTCCCCTTTAAGATAGGAAACAAAAGTGGGGCGCCTGGGTGGCTTAGTCGGTTAAGCGTCCGACTTTCGCTTGGGTCATGATCTCGCGGTTCGTGGGTTCGAGCCCCGCGTCGGGCTCTGTGCTGACTGCCAGCTCGGAGCCTGGAGCCTGTTTCAGTCTGTGGCTCCCTCCCTCTCTCTGACCCTCCCCTGCTCACGCTGTGTCTCTCTCTCCTAGAAATAAAAAAAAAAAAAAAAAAAAAAAGATAGGAAACAAAAGTTTCCGCTTCAGCCATCATTTATTAAATCTGTAATACATCATGTGCTTTCACATGGATTTCTCCTTTTTGTCTTCACAGCAGCCCTCTCTTTGAAACCCACAGAGGCTAAGGAAGTTTTGCCCAAGGTCACACAGCTTCTAAGTGGAGGTTTAGGCATTTGAGTTCATGGGCAGTGTTCTTTCTAGCGTATGTCAAGATGTAATTTATTATATGTAAATATGTAAATAATCACATGTAAATTATTTTTAGTGGGTTTTTTCCTTTCTTCTTTTCCCCCTTCCTTCCTTCCATTTCTTTTTCTTTTTTTAAATATATTTTTTAGTTTTTTTTTTTTTTTTTTTTTTTGAGAGAGAGTAAGAGTGAGCAGGGCAGGGGCAGATAGACGGAGAGAGAGACCTAAGCAGACTCTCTACTGTCAATGTGGACCCCGATGTGGGGCTTCAACCCATGAACCATGAGATTATGACCTCAACCAAAACCAAGAGTCGGATGCTTAACTGATTGAGCCACCCAGGCGCCCCTCTTCCTTCTTTCCTTCAGCAAATATACTGAGCTCCTCTGTGTTCTAGACCCCTAAGTCTACACTCAGATCTCTTTCATTATAGGTTCTTAAGTGTTTGACCCAGCTGCTTGGTAATAAACAGTTTCCCAGAATTTTTCCATTCTGAAGGTCTGGTTGGCCAAACACAGGAGGCCCTGAGGGTTGGAGTTTCTTATCCTAAGAACTTTGTAAAATAACCAGGCCTTTGCTTGTCGCCTCCAACCACTTCTAGGCTGGCAGTCTCCCCTTTGCCCTCCCCCACGCTCCCCAGTCCAGTGTCCTCTGGAGCAGAAGCATCCTCCCTGGGATGCAGAGGCAGCCAGTGGGAAGCCCCTGGGCTGGGATTCTAGAGGCCTGGATGGTCCTATAGAACCAGTGGTTCATCCTAAGAAAGGGGCAAGCCATTCTATCTCCCGTTCATACGATGAGGCTGTGGAATTAGATGCTCTCAAAACCCTCCTGTAATTCCAGGGATCACGTTTTCTGCCAGGGATTGCCGTAGGCATGGGCATGTGACCCAGGGTGGCTGATGAGATGAGAGATTGGCCGGATACAGGTTGTTCCACCTTTAGAGGCATAGGGAAGATATAATCCCTTTTTGTCCACTGGACATTTGTGGTCTGAATATGCGCTCTAGAAATAAGGCAGGCAACTTGTGACCATGAGACTTGGTACTTACTGAGTCATCACTGAGTTAATCAGTACTAGATCTGTCCTATTTCAGGACTTCTTTTTATGTGTTCTAATTTATCTTTCATTATTATGTAGGCCTTTTTTTTCTTTTGTAAATTTTAGAGACAGCATGAGTAGGGGAGAGGGACACAAGGAGAGAGGGAGAGAATCTTAAGCAGGCTCCACACTCAGCACGGATCCTGAGGTGGGGCTTGATCCCACGACCCTGGGATTATGACTTGAGTCAAAATCAAGAGTCAGAAGCTCAACTGGCTGAGCCACCTATGTGTCCCTGAAATCGGGATATA